CGAAGAAGCTGCCCCCGAAGAAGCTGCCCCCGAAGAAGCTGCCCCCGAAGAAGCTGCCCCCGAAGGAGTTGCTACCGGGCCAGAAGCTCCTGCAGAAGAAGCACCTCCGGCCGAGGAAGAAGCTGCTACCACTGAAGAACCCGCCGCCGATGAGGCTTCTCCCACCGAAGAAGCGCCTGACGTCGATGAGGCTCCTCCCACCGAAGAAGTGCCTGGCACCGATGAGGCGGTTGTCGAAGAGGCTCCTGCTGAAGATGCGCCCACCAATGAAGTGGCCCCTGAAGAAGCTCCGGCTGACGAGGAACCTACAAAGGAAGAAGCGGCTCCAGATGATGCTGCACCTGCGAACGAGTCAGCTCCACCGGCAGAGGATGCCACGGCAGAGGAATATGCTCCACCTACTGATGAAACTCCGGTCCCTCCTGAAGAAGCGCCTGCGGCTCCTGAAGATGGCCCCACAAGCGAGGAACCGGAAGCATCCAGGGATATAGAGGGAGAACCGGAATCAACGCTGCCGATCGAAGGGGCAGCCGCCGCCGCAGCTGTTGGCGCAGCGGCGGCCCTTGTGGCAACGGAGGTGTCGAGGGACAAGAGAGAAAGGCGGCGGAAACACCACGACGAGAAGCGAGAACGGTATCCGAAGGACCCATTGAATGGGCACAGGGCTAGACTTGAACGCGATAGGCGTGAAGCTGGTCTCTTCGATAGTGCGTTCGCTCGAGAGATTACCAAAGCAAAGGAGAAAGAGAACAGTCGCCAGGAATCTGCTGAGTACAAGGAAAAAGAACGCGAGAGAGATGAAGAGAGGAAGGCCAGAAGAGAGCGACACGCGGCTAAAGAAGCTGGTTCCCGCAAAAGGCAGGAGGCAGAGGACGCAGCAAGAAAGGAGGAGCAACGCGAACGTCGTGAAAAAGCCGAAGCGGCTGCTGAAGAAGAGGGGAGGCGTAGGCGACGCCGAGAAAAGGAGAGGCAAAAGCTTGCCGAGGACGGTCACCGCAAGACAGAAATCGTCCATGAAGACAGACGGAAAGGCAAAGAGAAAGATGTGACTCTCGAGTCGCCTCACGATACAGCAACCGATGTTCCCCGCGAGCCGAAAAGGAAACCGAGGCAACCAAGTTTTACAGGTTCTGGAAGTGGCGGCAGCTCCTCTGGAGGAACGGCAATTCCTAGTATCCTGAAGAGAATGGGCACTGGTGAAAGCGATACCGGGCATCTTCTCATGTTCAAGGTGAACGACCCCGATACCCCCAAGGACAAACACCGAGACAAGGAGCGAAGCCGCAACGGAGACCATCGCGAAAACAGGTACCACAAAGAGCACGGCAGCAAGCGTCAAGATTCGGAGGATCGACCAAGGGCCTCCAGGCATTCCAGCTCGAGAAGTGACAGACTCTACCACAGTGAGTCAAAACCTGCTACGAAATTGGGATTCATTGGCAGGGCCATCAGCACGCTCGCAGAGCATACGAGTATTAGGGAGATTTGGCGCCCAGAAAGAGTCGGTGCTTGATACATTGCTGAGGTTGAGGATAAGGACGAAGATGAGGATGAGGCTGAGGGCAGCACACATTGTCAAACATGGGCGAAAAAGCATACAGGACGATTCTCACGAAGGGAAAATACAGCGCTAGGAGCACTCTTTTCGACGGCTCTCATTTGTCTGGGCGGAGGACTGGTCGCAAGGCCATTCCATTGTGCGACTAGTATCTAATTTTGCTAAGAGAAGCGTGTACGCGATAGATAGGCAGGAATGAGAAGGGCTGGTGGGCGATGGACTGAACTTTCCGCGAGCGGCGAGCTGCCCGTCGCGCCCGTATGTTCATCGGCGGGGGAGCCACCGGCACCTCCGTGATAAGGTCTTCCATCTCCATCAGCAGCACTGGAGCGACGGAGAAGTCCTGATGGCCTCTAACTTTTCCTTCGCTGTCAACGCCCTGCTAAACCGTGAAGCGAAGCCACTGCTGCGAGAACACAAGCCTGAAGGTGTTAGCAATCATTTGCTCCTTCCCCTCTTGTCGAAGATGCATGCTGTTCTCCACGTCATAGAGGGGCAACGGTTAAGTCATTTATCTACATCTTCTCGCAGGGTGACGATCCCCGATGGACTGCTCGCCGTCGCCCAAATCCAGTGGGAAGTATATGTTTCGTCGTCTCGTCGCTTACCCGTGGTGCCCTTCTTCATTCAGACCATCCTAACTCGTTTTCTTTGAGTGTTTCTGCACCCAGTTCGCATCGATCGGCCCACACCAAACACCAAGATGGGCTCAACAGGGAAAGACATGAAGGTGGAAGCCGTATTCCCCAGCAACACACCGCAATTTGTACAGTTCGCTAGCAGAAGGAGTGTGGTCCATAGCACGAAGGGCATTGTTGCATGCACACAGCCTCTGGCCGCAGAGGCGGGGCAGAGGATACTGAAGCAGGGAGGCAATGCAGCAGTAAGTCAACACCTAGGTCACGAGGACTGGTCAGGCCGCTGACAATGCCGACATCAGGACGCTGCGGTGGCCGTCGGTATGTCGACGTCGATATTGCCCCTACCCAGCCCGTACTGATAGCGTACCACAGCCGCCGCCCTCAATATGGCCGAGCCGACCTCGACTGGCATTGGTGGAGACATGTTTTGTCTATACTTTGATGCAAAGACGAAGAAAGTACATGCGCTCAACGGCTCGGGACGCAGCGCAAAGAATACCACTCTCGAGCAAGTCAGGCAAGAGTTGGGGATCAGCTCAGGCAAGATTCCGACACATAGCCCATTATCAGTCACGGTTCCAGGTGCACCGGGCGGGTGGGTCGACACCATCGAGAAGTTCGGAAGCGGGAAGTTGAGCCTTGAGCAAATCTTGACACCAGCAATTGAGATGGGAGAGGAAGGCTTTCCCGTGAGCGAACTGGCAGCGATGCAGGTTAGTTATCCTCCCTCTGCGCGTGGCCCGGGACATTACTGACATGCTTGTGAAAGTGGCATGACCATGAGCCAGATCTCAGACGGGCGTCGCCGAACTTCCGCGAGATGCTCAAGAGAGACAAGAACTCTGAGGATTTCGTTAGGGCTCCACGTGCTGGTGAGATTATGAGGAACCCCAACCTGGCCAAGACCTTCCGGACGTTGGCAGCAGAAGGAAAGAAGGGATTCTACAGCGGACGGATTGGCCAGGCAATTATAGACGTCCTGAACCTCACGGGCGGGCACATGGAGTTGTCGGACTTGGAGGACCATATGAATCGAGGCGCACAAGAGACGGAGCCCATCTCTCTTAAGTTCAGCGCGCAAAACGTCAAGAACCAAGGCACGCACAGGGTGACCAACGGGTCTCCAGACAACCACTTTGTGGAGCTGTGGGAGCATCCGCCGAATGGCCAGGGCATTGTTGCATTGATGGCTCTCGGTATACTGGAAGAACTCGAACGGACCCATCAAATCCCTGCGTTTGCCCAGGAAGACCACAACAGTGCTATCCACCTGCATGCTGTTATCGAGGCACTCAAGATAGCGTTCGCTGACGCTAGCTGGTGGGTGACGGATCCAGATTTCATGAAAGTCAAGTCGTCAGAACTGATATCCAGACCTTACCTGACGGAGAGAGCGAAGCTTTTTAACAAGGACAAGGCCGGCCAATTTGACAGCGGACAACCTGGACCCAGCCCAGCCCAGAATCACAGTGACACAGTCTACTTCGCCGTCACTGACAAAGATGGCAATGGAATGAGTTTCATCAATTCCAACTACGAAGGATTCGGATCTGCCATCATCCCTCAAGGCTGTGGATTCACACTCCAGAACCGAGGGTCGAATTTCCAGCTGGGACCAGAGAATCATCCGAACATCTACCAAGGCGGGAAGAGACCTTACCACACTATCATCCCCGGCTTAATCACTCACGGCGAAGAAGCCGACCGACAACTACACTCGGTATATGGTGTAATGGGTGGCTTTATGCAGCCGCAGGGTCACGTCCAAGTCTTGCTAAACATGGAGGTGTTCGGTCTGAACCCGCAACAGGCACTCGATGCCCCAAGAATATGCATTGGTGCAGGCATGCCCAAAGAAGGAGACACAGATGGTACGGTTATAAATGTGGAAGAGGGAATCGACGAGGCCACCGTGAAAGCACTGGAGCAGATGGGACACAATGTCCAGGTCCTGCACGGCTTCAGGAGGGCGATGTTTGGCAGAGGACAGGTTATTCGCAGGCATGTGGATGAGGAGACTGGCCAGATGGTGTTCAGCGGAGGCAGCGATCCCAGAGGAGATGGATGCGCCCTCCCCGGATGAGGCTTTGACCTAGATCGACAAGGCTGCGTGTCATTCAGCCAGCCACCTGGGCCTCGCCAACGCCTGGTGTGTAGGAAACCAATCGGATGATTTATGTGCCTGTACTTCGAATCCTTGCTTGCCTTTGTCCTTAGTTTCCCCTATGGCGCAAGCATGCCATAAAGAGCAGAGAAGCCAGTCTTCAAAGTCTCGGCGTGCTTTCTTTTCCCACGACAGCCGCCCGGCTTCACATATTCGAGATTCAGACTTTTTCACTGCGACCTCAGTCGGCTATGACTTCATTTTGCTTGATAGTTAAGAGCCTTCCTATCTGGAGAGCACTGCGAGTGATGACCTGCTTAAAGAGGTTTGGAGGGCGGGCGGTGGTGAGGGGTGGCGACGTGCCATAGCGGGGATTGACAAGCTTTTCTCGAAGCTCCGGCAAGCCTGAGGAGTGGCTAGCCACTGCCGGGAGAGGCTTGCAGGGGGCCTTTGGGGTGCGCCGAGGCTAGTTAAACAGAGGGAAGGCTACGCAGTACTACCCCATAGAGTAGTTGTCAAACTTACCGCTATCGCTCCTTCGCCTCTTTGATTTGTTCCTTCCTTCTTCCTTCTGACTGGCCCGTCTCTTAAACCTCCCAAATCGCTCTCATCTCCCGCGGTCTCACAACTAGACCGTCCACCGGTCATGCCGTCCTCTCAGAGAGCAAGACTTCATCCTACCGGCAGCTGCTCAATCAGCCTCGTTTGCAGAGGGACTTCCGCGGCTCGAGTCAATCAATGATCCTTTTCACCGCCAAACACCAAGACAAACCGAGGTATTCGCCTAAGCTCTGGTGGAGAACAGATGGGTAGGTTACATGGCTAGCAAGCATGTAACAGGATTGTTATCAGCTTGAAAGGAGGCACACGAGCTCACAGTAGACGAATCAACGTGGCCGATAACCATTTCCTTAGCAGATCCTTCTCCAGTCCACGTCCCGGCTGCTTTCCGACTACCATCTTCCCTGTCTCGCGCGCGTCATCAAACACATGTTGACCTTCTCGAAGCGTGCATAGCGCAGACCTCACGACGTCCCAATGTTACGCTCAGTACATCCTTGCAGCGACTGCACCAGTGTAAGCTCGACTCTGGGTTGTCGCCTTGCCAGTCGTCAAGTTGCATGATCTCGTTATCGATCAATCACCTTCGCGTGCGACCAGGGATTGCGTTCATGGCCGTCAAATAGTGGAGACGGAAGCCAGGAACCCAAGGCAAAGCTTTCATCATGGGTCAAGCAAACGATCTCGAAGCTTGGAGGGTTGTGGCCGGTGTCCACAAACTTTAGGCCTTTTATTTGTGAGTCCCCTCCCACTGCCGTCGGCCAACTTCTCGCGAGGGTCTCCTTCTGTGCGGCTGCTCGCAAACATGAGGTTCTCAATCGCTGCTTTGGCGCTGGGCTTGATTTCACTCGCATCCGCAAAGAGGAGCCCGCAACATGTAGGCAAGACTCTCCCAGAGATCAGGAGGAGCGTCGCACCTCAATCACGCTCCGCTGCGACAAAGATTGAGGAGAGGGCGGCTCCACACCTCTTCTTGAATAACAACACGAAGAGTACGTTGCCAGCAGACTGTAAAGCTCGAGAGACGTCTAACAAGTGGCAGAATACGCGGTCAACGGCAGCGCGATCCCGGATGTCGATTTCGATGTTGGCGAATCCTATGCCGGCCTTTTACCCATATCGAATCGGACGAACGCGTCAGAACTTTTCTTCTGGTTCTTTCCCTCGACCAACCCGAATGCGACCAACGAAATCGTCATCTGGTTGAATGGAGGGCCTGGCTGCAGTTCTTTAGAAGGCTTCCTTCAAGGTGAGCATAGTCGAATCTGGCTCGCCATCTTTTCTGACACCGACGAATAGAAAATGGACCATTCTTGTGGCAATATGGCACATTCAAGCCCGTACGCAATCAATGGTCATGGACGAATTTGACAAACATGGTTTGGGTTGAGCGTAAGCCCCGATGCCTGACTTGTTTGGGCGTATGGTGATCTGACTCTCTGTGTCAGAACCCGTTGGCACTGGCTTCTCCCAGGGCACTCCCACGGCGACATCGGAAGCGGACGTCGCCTCACAATTTCTCGGATTCTTCAAGAACTTTGTCGACTTGTTCTCGATGCAGGGCTACACGGTCTACATCGCAGGGGAATCCTACGCCGGGTACTATGTGCCTTACATCGCAGATGCCATGTTCAATGAAGACGACACCGAGTACTACAACATTAGCTCCATCATGATCTACGATCCGAGCTTGAGCTACGATGTTGTCCAGGAACATATTCCGGTCACTGCTTTCGCCGACTATTGGTTGCCTCTCCTGGACCTGAACGCCACCTTTATGGAACAATTGCACAATATGTCGGACACGTGCGGATATACATCCTTCCTGAACGACAACCTGGTCTTTCCTCCGAAAGGACCGCTGCCCACACCTCCCAATGTCGATCTGAGCGCTGACGGCTGCGACACGTTCGACGCAGTCTTCTTTGCCGCATCAACTGTTAATCCGTGTTTTGACATCTACCAAGTGGCAACGACATGTCCGCTCTTGTTTGATGTACTCGGGTTCCCTGGCTCTTTCGACTACCTGCCGGAAGGCGCAAGCATCTACTTCAATCGTACTGATGTCCAAAAGGCCATCCATGCTCCAATCCAGGAGTGGGCCGAATGCACCAACGTGGACGTTTTTGTCAACAACACGGATAATTCACCACCATCGGCATTAAGCGTTCTTCCGCGCGTGATTGAGAGAGCCGATCGCACGATCATTGGTCACGGGTTGCTCGACATGATCCTGATCTACAACGGAACCCTGCTCGCCATCCAGAACATGAGCTTCAACGGTGCCCAAGGGTTTTCCGTCCCGCCGTCTCAGTTCGATGACTTCTACGTGCCATACCACGTGGAGTACGACTTCCAACTGGGATCTACGGCCGGTGCCGGTGTGATGGGACAATACCATACCGAAAGAGGCTTGACGCTTGTCACCGTCCAACTCTCTGGTCACATGATCCCTCAATATGCCCCTTCGGCGGCTTACCGACAGCTTGAGTTCTTGTTGGGTCGCATCCCTGACTTGGGCACAGTAGGACCGTTTACGACCATGCAGGATACCAGCTACTGATTCCGTGTGCGGTGTGGGGAGCATCACGAGAACGAGCTGTTGGTGTTGTAGATACACAGTATAATGATTAGACTTGTGCTTGTGCCGATTTCTAGAATCGTCGACAAATTCCTCGATTCGTCGTGTGGAGGCCGATAATTGGCCCGAATCATTGGATCGGCTTTGGCGGCTTCGCCTGACACATGGTCTTTATCCATCCATCTGCCAAGTGTCCCACAAAGCAACCGTAACGGCGACCCCACATCGACGCCGTCGCTGCATTTTCGGCAGATCGTGGGGCTCTTTGCTTTCGCCTCTGGTGCCTCCAGGGTCGACGCCAACAGAGTATCATGATACCACGACCCAAGCAGATCTTCTGAAGATACGACGGAATGGTCCGCTCGTGCTGACAGATGAAACTCGGTGCTTGTACGAAGGCCTCTGTTCGTCGAAGGACGCTGGGGAAATACCGATTCGTACTCCGGACTTTCGAAAACTGTGTGGTTAGTTTGATCAACTAATTGCGGGGACGGTGTTTGTCGGCCCATGATCGTCTTGACGTCGTCCGTTGCACCACTTTGGACCTCGATCTGACTCTACACACCCAAGCCACACACGCACACGCACCTCGCTCGAAATATGCTCCATTTGGCACCTGTCGGCTTTTCATCCATGATGGGGCGCACGTAGACACAGTCTGACGAAGCTGGCTCTGGCTTCTGGCTGGCCTGGACCCTTTGTGAACTGCGGGCGAACTTCGCGGACTCATTGTGGGGTAATGACCTGCTCATTGGAATCATCCTTGTCTTTGCGCGTGTTTTGTTCTTCTGGTTTTAATACATCACTACCTGTACGTCTTGCTCTGACGGTGATCACTAGCTCCAGGCTTTTTGATCGTTCAGCGTCAGATAATTACTTCGTACTCGACCTTTACTGTTCTGTTCATATTGAAGGCTTTCTTGTACCAACCACTTGCTTCCTCTACTTCGGCACTCACCCCACTCACACACCAGCGACTGACGACGACCCGCCAGAATGAACCAGCCAGACCAACTGAAGCATAACATCACAGAGGATGCTCTGAAGAAGGGCGAAAAGGCACGGCGATCCCAGCTCCTTCCGTACCTACGCATATGCGTTTCGTAGCTAACACTCCCCCTTCTCTATACAGCCCAACGCCAATGGCACCATCTCCAGAGGCCCCAGTCCCAACCGGGGCGCCTCAGTCCGGGACGTCGAGGCCATCGGCCCAGACTCGGAAAGTAAGCGCGAATGGCAGGAACGACGGGGCATCGACACGTCCAAGCAGGTCCGCATCGTCAAGCTGAACCACATGCGCTATCAACATCCCGACCTGAACAAGGCGACGACGTTTTTGAGAGGTGGGTAACCCACGTTCGTGGGTATCCTTACTGACTTCGCGCAGACTTCGGCATGCACGTCGTGAAAAAGGGCGACAACGAGCGCTGGTTCCGCGGCTACGGGCCGGACCAGTACGTCTACTACGCGCGCCAGGGGCCCAAGAAGTTCCTGGGCGGCTCCTTCGAGGTCGAATCCAAGGAAGAACTCGAAAAGGTCCTCAAAATCGAGGGCGCCACCGTGCTCACGGACGGGATCGAGGAGATGAAGGACGCCCCGGGGGGTGGGTTCATCGTCTCGATCGCCGACCCGGAGGGGTTCCCCGTGAATTTCATCTGGGGCCAAGCAGAGGTCAAAGAGGAGCGGGCCAAGCCCGTGAAATTGTTGGTCAATGACGAGACCGACAAGCCGCGAGTCAAGGCCTTTCAGCGGTACGAGCCCGGGCCGGCGGCCGTGCATAAGGTGGGTGATAACATACGCCAGACCCGCTCGCTCGCCTCTTGAGCGAGCTTTTCCAAAAAAAACATCTTGCTGACTGACGCGTTCCCAGCTCGGCCACTTCGGCATCAACGTCGACGACTTCCCCGCCCAGATGGACTGGTACACGCGCAACTTCAACATATACCCATCCGACATCCTCTATGTATCTGAAGAAAAAGTCGACGAGGCGACGGGCAAGGCTGCGCGCAAGGAAGTGGCCCTCTTCGGATCCATCGACCGCGGCCAGACGCCCGTGGACCACCACACGTTCTTCATGACCACGACGGTGCCGGGGAAAGACAAACACGTGCACCATTCGAGTTACGAGGTGCATGACTTTGACACACAGCTCCTGGGCCATCAGTGGCTTGCGGAGAAAAAGTATGAGTCCGTCTGGGGTGTTGGGCGGCATATCCTGGGCAGCCAGATCTTCGATTACTGGTGGGATGTGACCGGGTTTATGGTCGAGCATTATGCCGACGGGGATCTCGTCAATGAGGATACTCCTGTGGGGTATGGGCCCGCTGAGCATGAGGGGTTGGCTGTCTGGGGCCCCGAGGTGCCGTCTTCGTTCTTGGAGTGAGCTGCCCTCAAGAGGAATGGGGTCGTCAGAGGAACCGAATGGGGGGGAGGTATGCTGTCAGAGGAGAGCAGAGGACGACAGGCAAAATCAGGGCAGAGCAACCTGGAGTCAAAGCAGGGGAAACACGGTGGGATGTGCTTCTACTGCGACGATCACAGTCTGAGTCGGGTGGAGTGTGCTTCGAAGAACGGCTGATGCCTGATATTTTTATGATGTGGGGATGTGAGATGGATGAATATATGTCATGGACACTATTACCTACCGGATGTTGTCTGTCTGTGGGATATTGATCCGGCTGGGATGGATGGACGATGTACGTGCGCTTCATTGGCGACAGTAGCTGTTTGGACATCTCGACGCCATATGTGGGTAAGTACAGTTATCTACTGATTTTAGCTGTTAATTAGCTGTTAGCTGGGATTTGATAGGAGAATTGAAATTTGGCGAAACACAAATGGGTTTTGGTTCCTGTACTGTAACTTGACCTTGGGCTTGAACTTGATCTGAGATCACCGCTTTGTTGGAGTCATTCACGCATTGTGCTGGCTTTGGTGGATATTACGTTTCCGCAGTGCTATTTCAGAAAAGCTGCGGGACGACTGGGCATCAATAACACGTCCAAGAGGGAAACCGTCCAGGAAGAAGACCGTCCAAGAACGTCCGTGGACGTCTCTTAAGGCGAGTAGTGAGTTACTCCTATATAGAGTTTGTGAACGCACGGCGTTTGGTCCGTTGCAAGTCTCAAGCCCTATAAACGAATGATGAAGCAGTCCATGGTCAAATGGGTATTGGTGATTTTAACGAGGCTTTCGTTGTGGTTGTGTTCTAGCCTTGCAATAGACATCCTATCGTCTCTGGACGGGGTCCTTCGGCCTGTTGGAGTTTCCAGACTCTAGTCCGTACACCCTGGATGATCAACAGTCGATGGTTAAAGGGGTGTTGGTCATTTAACGAGGCTTCCGTCGTGGTTGTGTTCTAGCCCCGGCAATAACATAACTGAGTACTAACTACTGTATATCGCTCTGGTTTCTTCACACTTCAGCGCCAGTCTTCCATCTTCACATGGTCGTTCGAAAATCTCCGTGCCCAGATGCCGTTCACCTTGTCGTGATCCCACTGCTAAGCAGCCCATTCCAGATTGGATCACACTGCTCATATCCACTGATCCTACCTCGCTGACTCCGATTGACATGTTGTCAACCTTCGATAACCAGCTCTTTCTTTTTGAACTCCCTATCATTGCCATCCCCAGAGCAGATCATAGACCCAGCTCACCACTGTTTTTCACACTATCTGCCCCACCACTCTTTATCAATCACATCTGCCCTCACCACTCTTCATATCTGACCTTGTTGATCAAGGTGCCGATCTTCTCGATCTCAATTCTAATATCACCCTTATCCTCCAGCACAACACGCGGGTTGCGGAAGAAGCCAATCCCAGCAGGAGTGCCAGTAAGGAAGATAGTGCCTGCCTCGAGAGTCGTGCCCTGGGAGAGATAGCTGATTTGCTTGGCAATCGAGAAGATCATGTCCCTGGGAAGCGCAGTCAGTAAAAACAAGATCCTTAGGATCAAAGCAATGCGCGTCAATTACTCACTTGGTGTTGCCATCCTGCACGGTCTGCCCGTTGTAAATGGCCTTGATCTTCAGGTTCTGCGGATCCGGGATCGCGTCCTTGGTCACCAACACGGGGCCGAGCGGACAGCTGCCGTCTAGGCCCTTGGAGAAGGACCACTGGGTCGTCAACATCTGCATGGTTCGGGCCGAGACGTCGTTGCTGGCCGTGTATCCCAGGACGTAGTCGAGCGCCTTGTCTTCGGGGATGTCTCGCCCACTCTTGCCAATGACCACGCAGAGCTCGGCCTCGTAGTCGGACGTGCCGTCCTGAGCGGCCTTGGGGACCGGAATGACGGACGGGTACGGGTCGGCAAGGGCAGTTCGGGGCTTTGTGAAGAGGATGGGTGCTTTGGGCAGAGCCATGTTTGCTTCCTAGTCATGGTCAGAAGTTGTGTCCTGGCCTCGCAAGTTTGTCATGAAAGCATCGTGGAAGAATCGGGCAGAAAGAACCTACCGCGGCATGGTCCTTGTAGTTCAGCCCCAGGCACCGAATGTAGTTGCAGTCCTCCTGGCTGACTGGGCTCAATAGTTGCTTAACGGTGTAGACGTGCTCTGTGACCTCTGGGGCGAATATCGAGCCATTGATTATGTAGGCTTTGATCTCCTTGCCTTCGAGGCTGTCGAGGCCGATGTCGCGGGATGTGTCGACCAGCTGACCGAGGTGGACACGGTTGTCCTCGTTGGCGATGAAGCGGATAATATGAGTCGCTTTGGAAGGCATTTTGGACGACGAGAACTGGTGTTGAAGCTGGGTAAGGCGAGTGTGAGGAGCAGGAAAGGCCAGGGTCGAATCCAAGGAAGATGATGTGTTTCCAAGCGAGAAAGTGCTTGTGGGAAAGAATGTCAAAGGGAAGGGAGTCAACGGTGAGAAGATTGCTGGTAAAGAATTTCAAAGCAATGCGGAAAGGAAAATCATTCTCACGCTCATTTCACTTCAGACTCAAGAGCCCCACGGTGTTGCAAACACATCCCCTCAATGCAAACACTTCATATGCAAGGGTCCAGGCAAGGCGGCCGCATGTTCACCACGGGCGATTGTCGGACCGATCATCTACTCCGTGGTCGAGCCCCCATAGGAGAATCCCCCACAAGGCTCATGACGGTAGACGTTGAAGTGCCGACAGAGTTGAGTTCAGGATGAACGAAAGGGAAAAGGAGGGGCAGATGTCGGCACGATCGTGGTGGGGAAACTTTGTGGGTGGGAACTACGCCGACAACACCGTGTTTGCCGTGCCCTCGCCAACCCACGATCGGATCCGAGCTTTGTTTATGGAGTACGAATACTCTTACATCAGCGCTTCGGATGCGAAGACAACAAATCTTCTACGCCGTACTTTAGGACCCGATCGTTCTTAAGCAATGGACTGACACGGAATAACCTCTTCTAGGACAGAGCGCCCTTTCCTCTGCCAGCCCAGCCGTCGCTCCAGAATCATAGGATCAGGCTGATCCATGGCATGGCAAGCATGACAATAGCACCAGTGATTGCGTCCATGCCAACGTCACAGTTACGATTTGCTATTGAAAAAGCTGACGTTGCAGTGGCTGCGCTTCCAGTTATTCCGGCGGTGTCGGAAGAAAGGGCGACGTAGACGTGGTCGGAAGTTGCGTGGTATCAGTCAGCACTGGGGTCGACGCTTTTTGCTTCGAGAGCAGGCTCATTGGGATCTCGGAAGTATGGATGGAGAGAAAGAAGGAAGGAAGTAGGGAACGAAGACGCAGTCGCAGTAGCTGTGAACGTCACGCCCGGAATGCCCGAGGCCGCAGGAATCTCCTGGGCTGCCCCTTTGCCCATTTTGTTGGATGCTGCTTGGGTGGGGTAGATGTCGATGTTGTCAACATCGTACACTACGTATGCGGAACTAATGACTGGGTCATCGATCATGGTCCAGCGAGCAGGAGCGATTGGAGTTCCGCATCGTCCACCTACTCGACGTGCAGCTAACACCCGTTATTGCCATATCTGAGGGTGAATCCCGCCGGGACACCAAGCAGCTCCCTGTTGAGGACCATGATGATCGACCCGCCTGGGTCACCAAAAGTGAAACGGCACGCTTCTGTTGCTGTCATGAAGTGCGCAGTTGATAAAGTAGAACCCAGCATAAGAGACTGCAACCAAGCCTTCCACTTGTGCCCGACTGACCGATGCTGGGAGAATATTGTAGGTTGCAACCGTATCGACTGCGTGGGGCGCAGGCACGTTCGCAAGGCTGAGAAGGGTCGACTTACCGGTACTGTCGAGGATCGAGGCGGAGGCTGAGAGGACGCGGACATATTGTACTTCTGACGCGATCCACTTCGGGTCTATGATATAGACCTACTCAAATCGATTTTTCGACCAGCACGTGTAACACTGATGTATTGTTCCAGTGCCTGGACACTGCTTTGTTGGCTGGCGCCGGTCCCCTGGCTGCCTATCGTCGAAGATTCCTCCGCCGCACCATGAGAAAGAATAATGATGAGTCTGCGTACCATGGGGGTATGCTTCAGGGTAAGTCGCTGAGCGTGGTGGCGCAGTCGAGGATGCAAAGGGTGGACGACCGAGTGATCGAGGTTGCAAATTGGAATTGTCAAGGAGAGGCTCTACCTTGCCTTGAAAATTCATCGCCCGAGCTGTGTCACTCCTGCCTCAAACCTCCACCAACCCCAGGATTATTGCTTACCTCAGCGACCCTCGCCGATTGCTGTGATTGATTCGCTCCTCGATGAAGCTTGGACGCGTCGCACGAATCAATGGAACGTGCTTGGGTTTCTCTTCCTTCCACCCCTCTCATCACATTCTCATCAGAATTTCTTCGAAGTACAGGACTAGCGACGGTTTCGTTAGTGAGACTCTCGTGCTCTCAGGATCGGCCCAAAGAAAGCGCCGACGATATTCTGTGTTTGCTCAAACACCACTTCTCCATGAGCGAACACCACGAGTTCTATCTCCAAGCACTCCCCAGCCTTCCTTGTCCAGCGCCATTAGGCATACTTTCCGTAGAGAAGTGGCATAGTTCTGGGGCTTATCATGTCATGCCATCGCGACGTAATCTAGTCCGAGATCCTAGGCTCCCGAAGAGGAAAGAATTTTGCTTGAGCAGGTGTAGTTCCAGACGCTGTGGACTGGTACATTTGTAAGAAAGGCACTGACATTCGGAACGTTGTACACCATCTGCCCATTCCTGTGCGCCTATGTGTAATGGATCTCTTATGGCATCCTGCGTCTAGCACATCACTGCAAAGAGGGGTTGGCACAAGGTCCCTTCAGTGCTCTACGACAATATAGACTGGACAATGCCTTGAAACCAGACGCAGCCTTGGGTAACTGTGAAGCTCCCATTTCGCCATCCTACGGGATATGTACCTCGTGACTACCGACTTACACAACCAAGGTGGAGATGCCTGCGTCCGCTTTGCTCTGAGGTCCGCTTTGCTCTGAGGTCCGCTTTGCTCTGAGGTCCGCTTTGCTCTGAGGTCCGCTTTGCTCTGAG